TGTGTATTGCTTTTAAGTGAACGGATATTAAGATGAGCGATTTTGAGCCTAGTATTTTGAAAATTGTTTCCTATTTTTAAAGTTGATGTTGAAGACATTACAGACTTTGTAATACAGGCATTAGGTTTGTGTATGACAATATTTTTCAGATTTCGTATGTCAGAGCCACAAGGTCTATGGTGATTTTGGTGAGTTGTAAAAAATGGTTGGGATTTGCGTGCAGTAATTCGTGTAGGAATAGACATAGTCGTCACGTTTCCTACCTCTTGCACAGTTGGTATACAATGTCCAAATGGCTCAGCCATTCGAGGGATTGGTGGCGATGGCCCGTTCGATAGGATGGTGGTTTCGTTCGATGGCGCTTGGGAAAAGGAAGCTTGTTCGAGGTATTTCTATTAATATGTTGATTATTTTTCGCTTGGATAGGTATCTCTATTAACGGTAGGGAACCAATCCAATCCGATATTGGTTGCTTTTCGGGCATATTTGCAATTTGATTGATTTGTAGTGCCTTGTTTTGTAAGTCCCTATTAGTATCGTAAAACGGCACACTTTCAGGGTCCCCATTATTTACAGGAACAGAGATAAAAGGTTGTAAACTGACGTTTTGAGATTTGCATTGATTTAACCCACTGTTGTTATGATGACCATTGTTTCGGTGACCATTTCTGTTGTTTTTGTTCATAAGTGTGTTTTTATTAATCTTACTATTGTTATTATTCATTGGAGCAGCAAATGGAGATGCACTTTGTTTGTAATTACTTTGCTCAGGGATTTGAGGTTTGGAAATTCTCTGCTGATCAATGTCAATGAATAATTTTAGGGAGGCATTAGATTTATCATGCTCAATTATTTTATTCTCTAGGGAAACAATAGTCTGATTCAACTTTTCAATTTCAAGGGATCGTTCTTTCACAAACAAACTCAACTCAGATTCAAGCTTTTCAGATCTCGCCTTCTCAATCGATAGTTCACTTTGAAGACGATCAATTTCTTTATCTTTGTGAGAATATTCAGTATTAGCATTTGCAATCGAATCGATTCTGTTAGATAGGATAGTAATATCTAATTTAACTCCCTCAACGTCAGCAGCTAGAACGCCACACGAATAGCGACAGTTGGACAAATAGTTGGAATTATCTCCTATAATGTCTAGACATACCTGTGATGCAACATCAACTTGGTTGGCCGGTCTCGATATAGATGTAGGCTCAGATTCCAAAATATTTGGAGCAATGAGATCCCGCTGTAACTCTGAATTTTTCAACAGGGCTTGCACTTGTTTACAACTCGACTTCATAACACCGTCCCGTGTCTGACAGAATTTGACACATCCATCCCGAATTAGGTTGCCATCTTTGCCTTGAAATAATAAAGTGTTTTGCTTGCCTGAATACCACGTCAAAGTTAGTTCAGCATTGGAGCTTGTGAACCTTTTAGACCCACCTCCAGGAGAACACCATTTCCCGTTTAGGTCAAGCACTTCGGCAACAAACGCCTTAAGAGAATCTAAGTCATTGCACCATTTCAAACGTGTGCCCTCGTAAATAAGATCGTTGCTTAAAGCATTACCAAGAAAATCAATACCGATAGTTGATGAATTAACTATTTCTTTACGAGATTTATCAAATAATGGTGGAATAATATCAGAGCTCGCTATAACACGTCTGGCCGCCATCATAGCACTGAGTGATGGCCTCTAAATGCAAGTCCTTGCTTCCCAAGAAGGATTATAGTATCTACGACTCGCGTCATTATATTCCGATTGCCAGTAACTTCCACCTTTCTTCGTGCTGCTTCGTCATGTTCTTGGTGCTCCAGGCATGACGCTATAGTTTTCTCTTGCAAGAAAAGCACCTCTGCAACTTTAGCATTTGCGTGAGCTGCCGACATCTCGTGTTTTTTCACAACGCTGTGTTGTTTCTTCCAGTTGCAAAATCCGGCAAACGTGAAGGCGTTTCCTTGACTCGTGCGTGCTAACTCACCCCGTGACAATGCATTTGTGAACAGAAGACAAGGCATACAAAATAGGCTATCCGTGCTCAATGAATAGGAAATCCATTTCCGTCTTGTGTCATCATCATGAAAAAATATTTGCTGTGAAAAATATCTGGAACGCTCTCCAAACTGCTTCGTTCTCAATTTTAATATTTGCTGACTTGGTTGGCAAGGCTCCATTTTTATTAATTTCTCTTTCGTGCTTAACTTTAAGCCAACAAGTGACGCAGGATCCAATGTTCCACTGACTTCATCAACAACGATATTTGGATTCGAAAGAAATTCCCTGGTTTTTGGATGTTTCTCTTGACAGTGGCTTGGTTCCTCGACACTATCTTCACTATCTTTTTCTTGCAATGTCTCTTCGACATCCCGATCTTTCCCGAATTCTTGATTAACTTCTATTTTTCGACTTTCCTCGCCTTGCTCTTCTAGTTTATGTTTATCGATCACATCCAAATCTTTTTCTGTGTCTGGTGAATCCACTCCAGATACTTGTTCGACTTGAAATATCGAGCTTTGTGAGGTTCCAGGGGTTTCACTTTCACCGCATTCACCCAATTTTTCCTGGACAGTTTTTTCTTTATTCTCACGCTTCCCATCTTCCGTTTGGAAGTACTTTAGCATGAAGGAACCAAGCTGCTTATTCTCATGTTGCCTAGCTTTCTTTGCTTTTCTGAATTCAGCTCCAGACTTTTTTCTTTTAGATGATGGTTTGTTGTCGGACATGGCTACAGGTTATAGTAGCAATATAGCATGAGATCAGATTAGAACTTATAAACGTTCAAAATCAAACTAAGTTAATGTTTAAAATGGGAGGCTTGGAACCAGATTTCCAAATATAAATCTTGTCAATGGCGAGAAGTTGTGGACATAGACACGTAATAAATATGTTAAATCAGACGCGGCTACCAGTTCCTCGTATCCATGATTGAAAACAAAAATTCGAATTTATTCATCCGCTTCGGTTTGAATTGTAATATATGCGGATATACCATATCAATATATTCCGTGTAAATCAGACGTGTCGATAAGGCTGAGGAAAATCGTGGCTAGTGTAATAGAAAACAATGGACAAAACGTATGATTGGGGGATGTCCAGTTTCCTTGTTTGGCCCGAAAATGTGAAATTCGTATCAAAATAATTTATCGAGGAGTAATACAAAGCCATTGTAACGATGCGACACCAAATTATAAACTATAAAGTTGAGCTTCTCCCCTAAAAGTCCACAATTTCTCGCCATGCACAGGCTGAAGTGAGTGAAGTATTGAACAACGCATCCAAAAATGCATCACATGCTCATTGCCTCAACTTAATTCGTTGTCATTCTAGTCGATTTACAGGCGTCACCTAGCGCTTGGCAGTTGACCTTTGACTAATTGACTTTGCCCTGGGCCTCTGGCTATACCATGTATATAATATATGTGGCCTTTGGCTATAGTCGGTCCCTCGCTATAATATAGTCGATTAATTTCAAGTGTCAATTCAATTATTTCAATCTAATCAATGAATTATTATTTATGAAAGTACGAGTTGTCGTCGAGTGAATACTGAATATAGCGCACCAGCTGTACCGGCGAAGTGCAATATGCTGGCGGCGTTTCACAATCACAAGAATCAAGTTAAATGTAATATATCATAATATGAGGAGTTAGGAGTGAGCCGTTTTTAAATAATTAAATCACTACATTAAACGACTTCGAGTGCACCATATAGCTTCTCAAACAAACCAATATTTAAGGTTACAGAACACCGTTGAGTGTTAATTTGCCTAAAATTTTTTTATTGGTTTCCATGAAGGCATTAGACTAGTTCTACTTTGAACGAAAAATGTTGAAAACTCGCAGAGTTATTTAATCGAATACATTTCGCTGCAATAAGAAAAACATTGAAAATGCAGTATTCAAATTCAATTTTCTCCTGAAAAAGTTTACGGTAGGACATAGCTAAAGACGTCAGTTTCAAAATTGTGTTCGGCTTTTTTTTAATTTTGCATATTTTAAAAATAAAGAGCAATTCACTCAAACAATTCAGAAATATATTGCAGTCGTCAAAGAAATCGCCATATCAGCGGAATGACAAAATAAACAAAAATTTCCGAAAACTATTTTTTAGAACAACTATTTTACTGTATAAAAATGATATTTTCATAAATATAACTTAAAACCAGCAGGAGCACAACTCAAAAGCGTAACGGTATCGCGATTTAAGATTTCCCTGAATAATTCTTACATTATTTTATTGTTTGTTAATTTTACAAGTTTACCATATTTTGCATGCACTGGAGAACATTCGGTGAAAATTTGATGAAAATCGGACTGATATTGAGCGCGCAGTAGCGATTTTCCGCAAAGCGCCAAAAAGGGTGTCCTGTAACCTTAAAGAGAAATTCAACGCAAAGTTGAATGAGAACGTTTAACGCGATTTCCTTTGTGTCTTGCTCATGAATAATTGTCTGAGTAAAGGTAATTACAACACTTACCAACAATCGTCAATCTCAAGCCAAATCACTTCACAATGATTTCACATTCACAAATAATCACAATTGCATCCTTTGACAATGACAATCAATTTCGAGCTGCCGTAAAGCGTGCGCATTAGTTAATACGGTTACAATTTTCAAACCGTTTCTTCCGCACTATTGATACTAATCCAATTATTGTATAAATCGTTTCCCACGCCTTAGGGGGCGTGACCTGTCAAAACGTGGCTGATTCATTGGGAAAATTAAAGGTTGAAATTTCAAACGTAAACAATTGAAACAAACCTTGGCCAATGGGATCTAAAAAATTACAATTCGGACTGGCGCTTTAAGCTTTCGTGTCTGCTACTGTGATTTTGTGCAATTTCGGCGCCCCATTTATGCTTTGGCGCCCCCTAAAAAAGTTTCGCAAGGGGGGCCATGGCCCCCCGGCCCCCCCTGCCAGCACGCCACTGGTGTACCACGATATAAGGACAAGGTTCCCAACCAGCCAGTCAACTGGATATTTAAATACTAATGAGAGATCATAATTGACTCAACTGGTATTAGAAATTTCTGCCAACATGTATTATGTCTAAAATCGTAGTTAATAGAAAATATGGTTTGAAAACTCTATGGAGGTACAACATAACCAGTGACGCCAAGTCTCCCGGTTAACCTTACTTCCCAGTGAACTATCTACTGTACATATCCTGGTATTCACCTGATTCTCACAGGTGAAAAAAGCCATCTGGATTTACAACAAGGCCCACAAAAACTTATAACAAAATAGAGTCCCCAAGATCCCCGGAGGTCTTATATCTGGGGGACATATCCCCAGGGAATAACTGACTGTAATCTCCCGATTTCTGGCTTTTCAAATTTGGCATCCCTGCATAACTGTATCCCTGAGTTTTCAAACCATGGACTATATTAACTATGATAAAATTAAACATATATGTAGAATGCATTACTATAATGTATAATTTAAACTATACATACAATATTCGGTATTGCACATATTATTTTTTAAATTGTGCCATCTGTCCAGCACATCTTTGCAATGTTTATGAACAAACTTTCTCTAAGCATGATGTTAATAATATCTTTTTGTGTTCAATGTAAGAACCACAGCAAGGCCTCTTTTTATATCATGTGTTTATTACAACAACAAACAACGTTTCAGATATTTACTCCATCTTTAGGTAGGTATGATTATACAATTTGAATTTAAACTAAATTAAGTTTAGCTTAAAATGATACCTACCTGAAGATGGGGGTAAATATCCAAAATTGTTTGTTGTTGTAATTAAAACATTAAAAAAAGCCTTAAATAAATGTGGTCTGTACATTGAACACAAAAGATCTTTTGTAATAAGAACTTTAACAACGCTGATGGTTATGGTTCTGACTATTAAGCTAGATGCAGCTGGAACTGAGTTACAGTACAGCGCAAGTGCATCCCCACCAAACATCAGTGGATCCTGACACTTTTATCAGGAACACTGCCCCCTGCGATGTCCTTTCATGGGCTTTTTACATTTCCGACATCGCCTTACAGATCTTTGCTGATCCTGTTGCTCAGCTGCAGCAGCTGCAATTGTACTTTCAAGCAATGAACTTTGTTCAGCTTCTATAATAAAATTTAATGTATAGAATTGATACTATGAAATTGATTATTTGATATACAGTACATCACCAGGCTGAACTACATGTACCTGGCATGAGTGTATATTTAATAATATTTATATTGATAAAGTGTACCTGAAGGGAAAAACTGTGTGACATTGCTCTTCCTTTGTTGCTGACGTTCAATGGCAGCTGGCTTAGGTAGACGCTCACCAAATTGTGTGTTTAATGGAGGTGGCTGGCGGCCAACATATTTCTTCAATGCCTGTGCCCTTTTTTCATCGTTTGCAGTGAAAAGGACTTTTTTGACTTCATTAACATAATCTAAAATGTCGAGATACAAAAACAATGTACATGCACTTTGCAACTATTTACATGAAGAACTTCAACATTTAGGAACAGTTATTTAAATTTGTTATTCATTTTGACATGTAAGTACTCTCCCCATTAGAAGCAAACTTGTATGGGATCAGGGCCGTGCCATACCGGTTTCTTGTGGGGGGGGGGGGTGTATTCCAAAATTTGGGGAAAGCAAAAAATTTTCCAGAGAATGTTGGCGCAGGGGGGGGGGGGGGGGGGGGTCAACGTTATGTTTTCGAAAACAAAAGTTCCCAAAATATTTCGCAAAACAACATTTCCCTGAAATTTCCATAATTTAGCGAACAAATCCTTCAATTCCAGCATGCCAGGGCCCCCTTCCCCGCAAGTTGCACCCCTTTTTTTACCTTTTTTGGGGGGTGTTACACCCCTCCCCCCAGGTGGCATGGCCCTGTATGGGATTAGACAGGTAGGTGTACAGAACAGCATTTTCATTGAAGAACAACATTTTCATTGACTCATTAAACTCATGAACCATTTTAGTTTTATTTAACTTACCATATGTAGGTGGTACAGCAATCTCCCGAACAACCTCTTCACCAAACTTGTATTTTGGGTAAATAACATTGTAGTAGACTGTTCCAGCCTTGGTTTGGCGTTTCTCTCGCTGCACATTTTCATTAAAGTGCATGATGGCTAAGATGTGCCTAAAGATAGAAAATGTGTTTATTACTGGGCTACTGAAACTTCAAAATAATTCAACGAACCTTTTTTCGTATTATCTGAAGGTTTTCCATCATTAAAGGCAGGATTCGAAATTAACTTTGTGCACCTTATATGAATCCACCTCCTATATCTTGTACAACTGTGAGATATTCTACATGATTAATACCTGCAATATGTTCCAAGCCATGAATAGTGAGTCATTTTGGGATGCCAATGGTTTAGGGTCGAGTGAAATCCCTCCAGGCAGCTAGTTTGGGCATCAGAAGAAACCATCTTGATATCCTTGATTGTTCTTGTTTTCAAGAGGATCCCACACAATCTTTCATGGGCCTGAGTACCTACATGTAAAAAATACAGTAAAATGTTACCACTATTACAAAATAAACAAATTATTGAAAACTTTTTGACTGGCTTTACCCCCTACCTCCAACACAAGTTTACTTAGGGACTTTGAGCTATAGCTCCCTCGACAGAACTACTACTCTACCATATTTTGACTGCAGCCTCCTACCCGATAAAGCTGGATATCTCACTGAATTTTACTCATCAAATGAACTGCTGCAAAATAATGAGTTATTATCTACAGTTACATGATCACCTTGTTTAATCCAGTCACGTGGTTCAAGTGGCCCATGAGGACAATTAGCATAAAGGGAATCTGGATGGTTGGTATGGAGATTTGCAATATGTCTGATCACAGACTTCCATTTTGCTATAATCAGGTCACCAAAACCTTGCTTTGTAGAGAGGGCACACCAGTACAAATGAGTACGGATAGCTTTCACCCACACCAGCAACTTTTCATTTCCTTTCTCTTTTCCAGCTTTTATTAGTTTCTTTGTGATTCCTTTCACGACATGCCATAGGTCATTGAAATGGCGAGTGTCAGGTTGGCTTTCACGTATCCATTTTGCGATGCCCTTATGCCTGTCGCTTACAAACGTGGAAACTTTTATGCCCAGATTTTGGAGATACTTGAAACAGGATTTAGCCCCAGCCAGTTCCATCGCGTTACTGTTCCCTGTTTGATTTGCCTTTTGGAGATAAGAAAACATAGTTATATTTAGCATTGCTTTTAAAAAGATGTTTTACTATTTGAGAGCTAGTGTATAAAAATAATGCTTTTTGCAATAGACAATATATTTTGCATAATCAGGTGACTATAGTATACTGCAATCTGAGATTATACCTGCAATAACTCAAAGTGCACCAACTTTGAAATTGAATTACAAAACATGGTATATACTCCATATTTTGCATTGTGCCCCATTGAGTCGAATCGGCCATCTCCCGACCATTCAACAGCACCTGTCAAACCCTTGATTTTATCCAGCAAAGCCTTTTGATATTTTTCCCAGTGGAGGAAGACTGCTGGAAACAGGAATTTCTTCTGGTGGAAAAAGTATGTTCGAGGGGAAATTACTTTTAGGCCAAGGTGCTTAAACATCAAAAAAGCTTGACTGATGTTTACACCAGACATCAAGATGCTAAAACTTAACATGTTTCCAGCTGGGTGTCGTCCTTGAATAAGGGGCTGACTTCTCGATACAAAATTATCACCACATTTCTTGCATGATTGTACCACAGTTGCCATGGTGCCAATTCTTTTAACGGTTGCAGTTGGATTCTTTGACTTGCATTTGAAGCAGAACATGCTGAATAGACCAAGAAGCATGCCAAAAAACACAATGAATTTGGGTTCATCTTGTGGCTCCGTATTTGGATCAACACTGAACAAAACAAATGTATAATTAAGATTTATAAATGTCTTCATCTTAAATTATCCTACAGGGTAGCTTGAGAGATTTTTTAAAAAATGGCAAAAATTAGGTGTTTTGCTGATATCCAAGAGGGAAAAAGCGATATCCTAAAGGTGTTAGTAAGATATCCTCAGGGGTAACCTCCACAAATTGCATCCAAGGGGGATCCCATTTTTTATATCCTAAGGGGGTTATGAAGGGACCCCTCAATAGGGTGGGGGTGGGGGGGGGGCTGTATTAACTGGAATGGCCCATTGCAGCCTAATGGTTAACATCCATACTGTACCTTACAGTGTTTCTCGTCATGTCAACATTGTCGCCATTGTCATCAATATCTTCAGACTCATCTGCTGATAGATGGTAACTTTCCATTGACGACCAATCCGTGTCCACTGTGGAAGCATCTGTTGGCTCCTCCACATTAAAGTCCTCCAAGTAGGGCTCTGCCTCTGTGGACAATTCATCCTTCTTGCTTGTGCTTGGCTGGTCTTCCATTTCTTTTGCCTACAAAATTAAAAGAATAATTGTGCATGTATAGGATTAAGGTTACTCCTATATGGAGATAGATTATTTGGAAAGTATTTGTTGACTCATAAAAATTATTCTTTACACATTTACTTCAGGGTTCATTCACGCATTTCATTCAAATTTATAGTCTCAATAGAGTTTTATACTGGCAAGGAAAACTAACTTTATTAAATGCAGTCTGCAGTGATCTTTTTTGTTTTCTGAGAGCCCAATTTTCTTTCTGCATGGAGTGGATTTTCTTTTTTAACGACTTGATTTGTTCTTCCTTTTCTTCAACTGGACTTTCTACTGTTTCTTGTGGTTTTGACGCTACGTGTTCGTGCACCTCTTGTGTGGCTTCGCCTTCAACTTCGAGAGCTTCTGACTTGGCTTGAGAAGTCGCAGCACCGGACGTTTCTTCTTGAACAAGAGATCTTATCACCTGAAATATTGAGAAATAATAAAACACGCCTTTATTCGTAGCAGAAAACATCATTGCGGCGACAAACGAAACGCCAGACAAACATGACATAATATATAATATTTAAACAACACACAAAATATGGCGTCATTCTATTTTATACCTGTTTACGTTCTCTGATCGTTGCCGTTCTTTCCTCGGCTTTTATTGCTGCATCGATTGTTGGAACAGCGTCTGGTTTAAGCACCACTCTAATTCCTAAATATTTTGCTATGTCTCTCCGAGTAACGTAACAACTGTCTTCGAAATGAATAGAACACAGAGGTGAATGTTTCGAAGGAACAAAGCCGGGCCGGTGTCGCCGAACAAACGAAGTGACTATATGACCGGCAGCCGGTCACGGTTTATCAAATACTAAATGGCCGGCAGTCTAGTGACTATTGTTAAAATTGAATTTTTATAAGATAAACCTATCCCCAACCCCAAACCCTTTTCTAACCCTAACCCCTAACCCCTAACCCTAACCTTTTGAGAGTTAGAAAAGTCGGGAAAAAAAGTTTAAAAAATTTTAACAAAAAACAATGCTAAGTCAGACAAAACACATCCCGACCCCGACTGCGTTTAACTTTCCGCACACAGCGCCCTTGCCATATGAGCTAATGGCAAGCTCGGTAAAAGTTAACGCAAACAAAAGTTTTTATATTCAACTATAGTCACTAGACTGCCGGCCATTTAGTATTTGATAAACCGTGACCGGCTGCCGGTCATATAGTCACTTTGCCGAACAAAACGCAACCATTCTCGATGCTGCTTTGGATATTTCTCTTTGTCAGGAAAACAATGCATAGAAACACCCTCAGTATTCTGCGTGTTAGTACAACTGGCACCGCTGTGTGTACCAGCAACGCAAGATCGGCCATAATATCGAGAAGACTTGGCCACAGCGCTTCCTGAAGTAGTCGCCATATTGCAGCATGAAATTGACAACTCCTTACTGTGACGTCACACCACCGATCACGAAAGGTCATTTTTTTTCGCAAAGAAAGTGGCAAAATTCGCGACTTTGAAGGCTTATAAAAATAAAACTACTTGGAACTTAGGAAAACGGTTTGCATCTTTCGAACCAGTGCAAAGAACTCTATAACGTAATGCAAAAATCTCACCATCGAAAAATTCGTTGCATAAAGCCTTTAAAACTCAGCAACATACACCTCCATTGCTTCTCGACTATACGTGAAATTCTTTAATTGTCGAACTGAATTTTTTTCTAAATTGCACAGCTGTGCTGTTGCGTTTAAAAAAATTCTGATGTCTTTAATCAATCAGAATCGAGTAAAATTGGTTAAAATGATAGTAGAGGCAAGGATTGTACATTTCACAGAATATTCGCGGAATTTCTTTTGAATTTATTATTATGTTGCTCTTGACTTGAATCTGATCGAGAGTGTAGAGAGTCAAAAGGCAAGTGCCGAATGTCGAACATACCAAATTAATTTGCTATTGAGTATTGATACTTTTCTAAAATTCTAAATTTTACATATTTGATGTCAAAATTTCAAAATTATATAGCTACATATCATATATGGGAAGTGCGTGCGTACGATTTTTATTCACGAGTTGTGATTATATCACAAAACGAACCAACGAGGTAGGAGCGAGTGAGTTGTGTGATATAATCTCAACGAGTGAGTAAAAATTGTACACGCACATCCCATGTTGTTATTTGTTTATTATACAGGGTGTCTCAAAAAAAACGCTACAGAAATTCAACAGGCTGTCGTGCTTCATAAACGTGGCTAAACAATTCAATTTTTACGTAGGACGAAAGAGCAGTTATTTAGCTTTTGAATGATACTCTTTTTAAATTGTAACGATGAGAAATGGCCACATACTCGCCAAATATAAAAATTGCCGGTCGAAATCACATTCTTCCACCGTTGGGACTTGGGAGTTGCATGGAAAGCGAACAATAAACAACTCCCAAGAGTCCGAAGAGGGAATTAAAATTGAATGTTAGATTATCTAAAATAAGTTCAAATCGTCAATCTTTGTCTTAGTAAGACTATGAGGATGTCCATTATTGCATTAAACATGGTTCCATTAACCACTGAGCAGAGAAAATTCTAAATCAAAACGTTTTACGAAACAAATACCCTGGCAGAAGGCTCGTGTTGCTTTTGGATTGATTAACTTTGCATAACTGATTAATGTATTTTCAATTCCCAACGGTGGAAGAATGTGATTTCGACCGACAATTTTTATTTGACGAGTATGTAGCCATTTCTCATCGTTACGGTTTAAGAAAGGTATCATAGAAAAGCTAAATAACAGCTCTTTCGTTCAATGTAAAAATTGAACTGTTTAGTTAAGTTTGTGATGCACAACAGCCTGTTGAGTTTCCGTAGCGTTTTTTTTTAGACACCCTGTAATCTGTATAGATACTGAGATTTTTATAAACAAAAAAACTCTAAACCGTACTACCGACGTGTTCAGCTTGTTTTCTTCTCCTTGTTTTTTTTCTTAGCATTTTTTGCTTCTACTTATAAGCACTTCCATCGTTTGGGCAAGAACCAAGTCATTTATAATGCTATAGAAGGACATTTATTAGTTCTCAAATGTTTGCAACAGAATTAACATGATTGTAAAACAAATCGATTTTCGGCCATATTGTTTTCTATGAGCAAAGAATCCCGGTCGGTTTACATTAAATCGTTCTTGAATTTGATTGAACGAAAGATATTATTTCACAGTGAAAAATTATCGTTCGCGTTTTCTATTGGCTAATGCATGGCGACAACATAAAACTTTCACTGCTTAAAAGCATTATGACTATGACTATATATGACTATATATGACTATGACTATGATTATGTACTATAACACCTTACATTTTAACAAATATTTGTACGAATACGCTGACTTGCTTATCCAGACAAGTTCTTGACCTCCTATATATCTTACACGTGCAAGTTTTAAATTTGTCCACATACGAAAGCGCGCTCTATAGTTAGAAATTTTTCGGACAAATATTTCTACGGATATAGCTATACAAACAGTCCCACAATTTATAATCAGTCATCTTGTGTATTCATTTGCGTACGTTTAGACAAACATTTCGAGGAAAATAAATCCTTCAAATAAAAAAAATCCTTCTTTATCTCAAGACTTTTTCCAAGTATTTCTGCAGTTGCATGTGGAACGTGGAATCTTAATATTCGTGGAATTCAAATACTGATTAAACGTAGACGAAATATATGCATGAAGACCCCGGTCCGGCGAACATTCAGTCTACGTTCGAATAATTTCGAACTCAGTCTGACGAACAAACATCGAATTTGGCGACTTTTTCCAAGTATTTCTGCTGTGGAAATGCATGCTTAACGTGGATCTTAATATTCCTGGAATACAATTTTAACTGAAATCGAAAATGGAATTATAGAAAGCATAGAAACAATATTAGCCAAACACGCGTGCGATATACCAATTTCCATACAAATCATATGACCGGATGTGTAGGATAGCATTAGCCAATCAGCGTTGAGAAAACCTACTCGAGTCTCATTCTCATGAGCCGTGATCAAACCTTGATTCTCGTATTTCAGGCGCATTTGTGTTGAGAAGAGGGAGTGGTTAGGTCTTATAGCAGCTGCTTCTTATCGATTTGTTTGCAAGAAGTCAAAAATGAACGCCGATTCGAATAATACAACATTTCTTTCCATCGTAGGAGAAGGACATCCCGGTAAGTTTCTGCCTATAGGCACTATTTAAGTCATTTAAATTTTGAGCATTCCTCTCTACAGAACAGAATGTCAGTGGTTTTCCGTAAAGGGAAGTGTGGAACTTTAAGCTATATACAATATTCAAGCGTTATAATCGAGCTTTTTCGAGTTAGCTCTTAATGATATAAATTGCACATATAATATAATATCCGCGTTCGCTCGAAATTTCCAGTTAGTAAATGTGTTTTGGGCAGATCTAATATGGTTTTCTGTCAAATCTTTTGGATAATATTTGTGATCAAATTTCGGATGAATATGCTGTCTCAGATGTACATTTAACTCAAGATCCGAACGCCAAAGTTGCTAGCAGTATCATTATAGTATACCCTAGAATACTAAAACTACTGAGCGGTCTCCCTCACTTGCGAATTCGGTTTTAGTACTATGTTGATCAATACTTACTGGCTAAGTACTATTGTTCCCAGTAAACTGCGAAACGACTGTTTTTTTAGGCGCTTTGTCAGTGATTTAACATTCAAAACTACGCATCTGATTGGACAATAAAATTAGAAACCATTTAACTGTCAGAAATGTCAAACTGAAACTTGCAGTTTTTCACACGCCGCTTGCAACGAATTGTGATCGCGTGGTACACAAATATGGGGTAGTTCCTCGGGTAGAGGAGAAGTGATCACGTGATCGGCTAGTTGTGTTGTTTGTGGCGTCAGATATAACCAAATCCCTATCTCTAAGCCTAATCCTTACCCTAACCCTCACCCTAACCCTAACCCTAACCCTTACCCTAACCCTTACCCTAACCTCAAAACTAATCGCTATAACTAACTGATGACGTAGTCTGTGATGCAAATTCTTCTACCCGAGGATGTACCCCAAATAGTCCTTCGTAATTGACAAAAGTGTCACTGACAAAGCGCCTAAAAAACGGTCGTTTCGCAGTTTACTGGGAACAATAGTACCGAAATTAGGCATAGAAAAATGAGATAAAGTCGCTGGGAAGTGTGTGCAATCTACTCGTCCGGAAAAATTTTTGACCCCTAAAATTGTACACTGACCGAAATTTTTTTGGCGACGGGGGGGGCGGGGGTGGGGAGGTTGTTTAATTTGTTCATTCACAAAATATCCAGGTGTGTGGTGGACAAACATATGGTCAAGCTAATTGGAAGGACTGAGATCTTAACGAAGCTAATTTTTGACTGAGATCTTAACTTAATATTTTTTATATAAACTTTGGTCTATCTTTTTTTGTAACCATGGTAAACATGCACATAATTCAGTTAGGGACAACTCACAGGACAAGTTAACATGCCATGCATGTAACCCGCCGGCTATTATAGGAATGCAATGGTGCAACTGGCTGATGCACCTTGATAATGTCTTGGTAAAGCAAGGCAGTCTAGACAGAGTCAACGAAGCTATGAAAATAAGAGAGTTTGAATATTATATTTTTGCTCAGATCTAGATATGGGATGATTTTTCAAAAATTAATGACATTGAATTTCTGAAATGTGGCAAATAATGTGTTACATCTAAATAAAATCTCGAAATTAATCCTGTAGGAACGATGTAATTTTAAGGTAACTTACTCTCAATTAAAAATATTTAAAGTTTCCAAGAGACAGATTTTTGTGTAAACAAACTTCAATGTGATGGGGCATTTTATCCAGCTCCACGTGGGCATACAAAACAGAGGGATAGGGGGACGGCAATTCCAAGGAAAAACCAAGTATCTGCCTCTATTGCCTCTACCAATCTCTAAGGAAAAGGCGAGGTTTTCGCTATAGCTTTTGTTCGTGGCAAAAATGCCCGAGGTTACCACCGAACTTAACTCTATTAGTACAATCAAAATAGAAAATAGGTCAGAAAAAATTTGTAAAAAGCCAAGAATTAGCGTATGCACTCTCTTCAGCAACCTTGATAACATACTATAAAAGTCCTCATGTATCCTCTTGGAGCTTTCTCCATTATGACAAGTTTTTGTTCGATTTCCCTAGTGAACTCCTATATTGTTAAAAAAGTGAAATTTCAGATTCATTTATAGGAAAAATAAGTTACATCATGCATTAGAAAACTTACAAAAAACTGCATATAAGACATTTAAATGGCTACCTTGATTTTGCAAGTTCTTCTTGAGTTTTTGGAAACGTGTTGTCAGACTATAGTACCCAGGATTTTTGCCAGATTTTGGCCTATTTTTCACATTTGGAACAGCAATAACTCGAAAACCGCTTGAAAAATTTAGGTGACTGTTTAAATATCTTATATGTAGTTTTTATGAGCTTTCTAGTGATGCGAGTAATTTTTGTTATGAGTGAACTTAAAATTTCACGTTTTTTAACAATATGGGAGTAATAGGAAAATCGAAAAAAAAATTGTCATAATGGAAAAAGCTCCAAGAGGATACATGGGGACTTTTAGTATATTGTTCAGGATAGTTCAATTATTGCATCTAACAATTTTTAGCTTTTTACTATTTTTTTCCAACCTTGCCCTTAAAATGAGCTAAAATTACTGAACTACATGGGTTTTGACACATCTTTCACATACATTTAATTAACTCCAAATTAACAAAATTTCAGGGAGGCAAGATACAAATGCTTTGAAACGGTTTAGCATCCAATTTACTATTATACTGATAATAATCGTGCCATTAAGCAAGTGGGTTTGCGTAAGGAATTGGGCCCTAGCCCTTTGTGCGCATGAGTCCGCCAAATAGTATAAATGTTTGTTAAATGTGTCACATTTTGATGCACAATTCGTCAATATTCATGTGAAGTAGAAAGGGCCAAAATGTCCGTGAAGTTTGGGAGTATCTCGGCTATTCTTATATATAACACTCGTAATGATATGCGACATATATATATAGCAATACCGATGAGCGTTGGTTAACCAATGAAAAGACTCGCATAAATTTAGACCAATCACAAACAGAGTTCAAATATTGAACTCACCAAAGTGAGGCTGGATGCCGTGTGACCAGAGCCTCGCTCCTCGTCATGTCCTCACTTCTATCACAGGAGGCTCTGGCACCCAGGGTAGCTACGCCACTGCTTGAGAGTATGAATATATTAAAGCTCGTAAACAACCAGAAGAAGCGGTCTATATCCAGGCATGGTCTGGGGGTGGTAACTCGCCTCAACTCACTGCAGGATAATGCGAGTTTACTAGTTTTGGCGATTTAAACAAAAACTGCAACTTTTAAGTAATGCAAGTTTGGGCGATTTAACAAAAAAATAGAAATTTTAGATTATGCAAGTTTGGATGTTTCAAGGTAACTCCCATCAGCTCTAGTGAAGTTATAGTACAGTTAACACATGACAATCAGCCAAACATGCGTGCATGTTTCCACACACGTACAGAGGCATTAATTGTATGAAGTAAAATATAACTTTTGGAACACACACATTTGATACAAAATTAGGTTGTATTTGAAAAATGGAGAATTTGAGAAGAAAAGTTAAGGAGTTCTGGAAACAATTGACATTTAGGCGCGGTCACTACAGTAATCAGAGCTACAGTAATATAAAATTAGAAACGTAGTTATAACAACCGGCAACCAGCTCGTACCCATGCAGGTCAACAACTGAACAAAGCCTTGAAGGCCCGCAAAATTCGAAATGAATATTTTATATTGATTGGCGATGAGTCATCACGCATATAATTATAAAATGCGTGAGTCGTGATCGAATTTGGCAGGCTTTGCTCAGTTGTTGACGTTTACTACTTTGCTGATATTGAATTAGTGCCCGAGCCCAAAGGTAAAAACAAGCATTGGTATCAACCTTTATGCGTGAGGTCATGGTCGAGTATCACGTAAAATTGCTGTAACGAACGACGCGGGAAACCCATGCAAAAAACCTTTCCAGAATGCAGATTTCATGCATCATAATTTATTTGTCGTTCAAAGTTAGATATAAAGGAACAACGAAACTGAAATTTAGTGTCGCGCAATTGCTACAATACCAATCAAAGTTTGCATTCAACGTTGTGGCCCAAAAATGTGCTCATTTATATATACGATGAATTAATAACAAATCGAGAAGTTAATATAGTAATTAAATTGTTGTTATATACAGCAGTGTGCGATAAATCACGGTCAAAACAGTGAAATCTCTCACATTGTGATTGATAAATATTGATCATGAAGGTCCACATACACCGGACGCGATTCGACAACGCGACGCGATTTCTTAGTTTTTGAAAGTTAATAAAACAGCCAATGAAGGAAAATTTTAAAAGATATGTAGACCAAATAACTCAAAATTTTATAGCAATTCTAAATATTTGGAAAATTTAAACCAGGATCAAAGTAAGTGAAAATCGAAAAATCGCGTCGCGTTGTCGAATCGCGTCCGGTGTGTCTCGACCTTGAGGCTACAAATGCAGTCTGAAATTAGACGGACGAATAAAAAATATAAACCCGTTTGGTCGCACTTAATTACTATACATTCTTACGAAAATCACGAAATTTTTATTTTACTGTGAATAGTGGTAAAATCGAGTTTCATTGTTCATACAAAACCAATACTTTATTAGAATTTGGACGTGGCCCCGCCCCCTTGTATCTTCGAGGCTTCTCCATTTACTGTTCGGAGTACTCCGGATTTTCGGAACACTAATTAAATCGAACCAATAATGGTCACATGACTGTTGTGACGGTCACATGACTGTTCTGGCTGCCCCTACTTGAGTATCACAATTCTCACATTATTTAACTTTGACAAACAATAATGCAATATTCTACGCTAAAACCATTATCACTATACTACTTTAAAAGTCTCTACAAGAGATAGCGCTTTCGGTACACGTAAAAGGTCTCGAAATTGAGATAGTATTGTCTCAATTTCCGTTCAGTGACTTCCGTTGAGGTTGTTGGGCGTTTGCCGATTCATGCTCTGTTGACAGTGTTGTGTTGTTCGATTCTTGAGCTGTTGGATTGTACGTTGAGCTGTTGGATTGTACGTTGCGCTGTTGGTTTGTTAGGCTGTTTGTTGGGTTTGTTGGGCTCATGGCGAACTTGTGGCTTCACATTGAAGAACATTTGCAGTATTTGCTCGCCACGTTTTTTTACAAAGTTCGCGATCATAAATATCATCATACGACATCACCGTCCCACTTTACAAATTTGTTTGTAGTAAAAGAAAATTAAGTTTCGGTAATGCGATTGTTTAGCGAAAATATCACTTATTTCTTTTTGTTCGCTTTGGCAGAACAAATTCACCTGGTGTGAATTCCCAGTTCAATACCCCATTCTTAATCAAAAATGAATAACAGCACTTCCGTTGGGCTGTTGGTCCCAACAAGAATCCCAACAAAAACAAGCCACCCCTGAAGGAAGTGTAGGGAGATCTAATGAAGTGTGTGGTGGTCTAAGGAAGTCTGAAGGATATTAGATGTTTGGTAATTGGGACATTCCATGGGAATTGTCACTGATAATTATAAAAATACTGTTCTTTAATTTTCGATTTCTATAGCTACAGCGGAAAATGCTGAATCTGATGAGGTACGTTGCAAAATTATTCATGATGAAATTGACATTGTGCAAAGCCAATCCAATCACCCCACCAGAATTTTTGCAGTAACAAATCTAATACTGGAAATTAAATCATTGTTTTTTAGTTACGTTTATTATAAACCTCTGCTCGTGGTATTTAAAAATTTAAACAACAGCTAATTGTTATCGGTTGATTGTGTATACCTTTAGATTTCATATCAAAAAGGTCAAGTTAATGAGCAGGAAGTCAATGATTCTATTGTAGCTTGGAATACTCAGAAAGTATCGAAACGACGTGTTCTTGAACACCCAATGTAAGTTCTCTCACTGTAAGTTCTGTTCTTATACTGTAGTTATAGTTTCTGCGTGTGCATAATATAAAGAGAGACTTGAAAAGTAAAACAATTTATGCATTTGAAATCTTCAGAGTTGCGTTTAATTTCTTCATTCTGTAAGCAGTCGCGTAGTCAGGGTTTACAAATTGGGGAGGGGGCGACAAGTTGAGGGCCAAAGGCGGGAACACTGTAGGGGGGTCGGGGGCATGCTCCCCCAGAGAAAATGTTGAAATTCAGAGCCTCTGAAACGCCATTTCGTGCATTTTGGGGGTGAAATTTTACAAAATTCAAAAGATTATAACATAATAATTCGGTCAAAATGCCTGCGTCTTCAGTTATTAGATTGCGAATAACAAGCTGGTCATAAAATCGGATCAGTGTTACCCCCCCCCCCCAGTTTCTCAACGGACTTAAACATATCTCAAAGGTGCATGGTTCTGGAGGAGAGTGGGGGGACTCGTCCCTCCCATGCGCTCTCCCTTACCGCTCAGTTATAGGCCTGGGTAACTTCCCTAGCTGTACTTCAAACCTCATGGAAATTGAGTTTGGTTGCTAATCTCCTGTGCTTTGAAAGACTTTTTGCGGGCCCTTCGAATTCAGTTTTCCTCTCACACAAAAACCTAATCGTGCACTAGGCCTTAGTTGTCGAGAATATCATGAGCCTTTACCTTGTATGAATTATGCAACCACACCCTGTGTAATCGATCGGCATTATCATTATTATTATTATTGATTCAGTTGATTGTTGTATTTTGTAGTTTACCTAAAGATGGTGAAAAGAACGTCCTCATTACCTCAGCACTTCCTTACGTGAACAATGTTCCTCATTTAGGAAACATTATTGGTTGTGTTTTAAGTGCGGATGTATTTGCAAGGTAATGCATCCTTTAGAAACTTTAATTTTATACTGTCCACAACTTTTAAATGTAAAACATGAAGGGTTTATCAAGTCCCAGCGTACTTATAGTCGGTGAAAACCGATCATCGGATATCCAATCGAACAGTCGATGGTAATCGATGTTAATTACTTAATTGATATCGATTGACATTGGCCAATCGATGACCAGTGGATCGTCACAAAAAGTTATGGCCAATTTTGTCGATTATTATCGATATTCATCGATTTTCGTCAATTTTTATCGACAAAATGCTTTCGATTTTTATCGCTTTATATCCTAAAAAGTCGCCGCGTGTCGGCTTGTTCGAGCTAAATAGTAGCCTAAATCTGTTCCCATTTTTCGAAGGTACACATGTATTTGATATGTATAGCCCGATAAAAACTTAATTTAATCTATTGTTACTGAATTCCGTTCACATTTCCGAACTAAAGTTAGGAAATGATACTGACAATTAATACTTCTCATCTGAAAAAGGCTAATTGTCTTAATGACTATTTTACAAGTATTGGTGGTAAAACTGGAAACTCCTGCTCTGAAAACACTCAAAATTTAAACTTTGACAGGCATATGAGTGATAATCTAAATACTTTAATTTAGAATTTACTTTGCATTCAGTTAACGAATCAAAGATTTTCAGGCTACTTAACAATTTATCTATTTCTAAATCTATTGGATGTGATAAAATACCGGCTAAAATTCTAAAATATTCTGCTTCTGCAATTACATCATCTTTAACCAATCTGTTCAACTCTTCTATTGGGATGGGAATTTTCAACTACAGGCCAATATCAATTTTGCCGGTTATTAGCAAAATATTTGAAAAGATATCTTGTATGACCAAGAGCTTTTGTAACTTCGTGCTAAATGTTTTTTTTTAAATCGAAAAAACCGGCAAGATTATATAAACCACGATCCATATTAACATACCACTCATCAGTGCAATCTAGGAATGCAGTAGATGTAGAATGGAAGCGCCTGAACCCAAACTGCTGACACGCTGTTCAGACAATATTATTAAATTATATTGGTGGTAAAATATTCGTAAAACTGCTGTCAAAATTGATCAATTTTTAGCTTGGGACAGTCATATTGATCATATTTCGAAACAAATATCTTCAGGAATAAGTGCTATGAAAAAGATATTAAAGGATTTCACTGATACCGATACTTTGATGTCAGTCTATTATGGCCTTGTCCAACCCTATTTCGACTATACTGGGGCCGGTTGTTCGAAAGCCGATTAGCTTAACCTTAGGTTAACGCAGTAAAACGCAAAGTAAACGGCTTCCAAACAGCTTGTTGGAAAATCTTGAAATATTTCTTCAGAAGTCTTGCCGGGATCAGTAGAAGTTTTCTTCTCTGAAAGTTTTGAAATAAACAGACGTGCAAAAATACATAAACTAAAACAGCAGATTAAATTTTAACCGAGGGTTAGCGCTAATCCAGCTTTGAACAACCGACCCGTGTTGTGAAGTTTGAAATTCCATTGGTAGAGGTCAGTCTGAACGACTACAAAAATCTTCACAACAGAAATTAATGTGCTAGAATTAAAATGAACTTTAAAGATGAGCCTGGGCAATCTCAACTGCATATGGCCCTTGATCAATTAGGGTGGAAAAGCTTGGAAGAAAGGCGAAAACATATTATGGTCCGGCTCATGTTTAAGGTTGTCAATAATGTGGCACCGTCGAGGTTCTCATCAATGTTCCAGAATTTTAACCACATCCACAGTCATAATTTATGAGGTTCAAATTCGTCTCTCTTTCTGGCACGACCAAATACCGGGTATGGCAGAGAATGCATGTTTCCGATATAGTGGGGTTAAAATCTGGAATAGCATTCCTGAACAAGAAAGAAACAGCTAATCTTTAAATTCTTTCAATAGAAATATTTCCTCTGTTAGTCTGACGAATTAGCTATTGACTATTGTACCATTTGTTTTGTAATATGTATTTTGTATTTTCGTACTTCTTAATATTGTTAACGATTTTGTATTTTATATATTTTGTAACATTTTAATAAATTATCGTACGTCCCGCTTGGAAAGCAGCTTCGGTTGAAGTGGCCAGCGTAGTCAAATAAAATTTAATCCTATCCTATCCTATCATATCCTATCCTACATTTCTTTTGCTGCGACATTAAAGTACGTATTAAATTACGGCGTTACCTGTTTGATTGCATGCATATTAACACAGGAGTTCATTAATGAAAATCGATAAAAAATCGATAATCAATCGATGAAAGTTCACAGCAAAACAAGCCATCGATAATTCATCGATTTCCAATATCAATCGTAATAATAAATATCGATTGGTATTGATTGTTATCGATACTCGTCGATTGTCGATTTCATCGATTAAGTACGCAGGGATTAAGTTTAATACTTGACTATAAGCATATTTGTAATGATTTCAATCTCAGCTATATAGATATTGAACTTCAAATCTAATTTTTATTCTTCGGTTCTGACTCAGAACACATCATTTTCGATATGCGGTTGAGAGTAACTGGTTAAATTATATAATAGATGGCTGGCCCGCCATGCAAATAAATCATTCCTTTCATAAATAGCACAATTTTTTGTAATACTTCATTTACATATTTTTGTATCCTCTACTCTTGTAGGTTTTGCCGTCTGAGACAATATAATATTTTGTACATTTGTGGTACTGATGAATATGGGACTGCATCAGAAACAAAAGTAAGTTGTTTAAAGATGTTAGCAAAAATGTTCTACAGCAGAATGAAAGAACGCCAAATATGGGCTTTCTTGTTTGTTTACTTCAAATCGAACTCTAGTTTCCTATTATAAAAGTGTATACAGTTTCTCAATTTCTCACGGAGTCTAGCAGATTCACGGAGTCTAGCAAACTCACGGAGTCTAGCAGATTCTATAGTTTACATGTGTGATTGTTACATTCCGCAATCAAGTATTATCTCCCTAGGCCTAGCTCTTTTCCATATATCCACCACAAGTACAGTCGGAGAAAAGAATATTAATTATTTTTGCATACTGGTCTTCTTATTTTACATAGGCTACGTACACAATGTTTTACATCAGTGCTTGTCCAATTACCTATTTTATACAAAAAGAAGACTGACATACAATCAGAAAATCGCAATTTTTAATTTTTGCATGGACTGAATTCCTGGCAACTGCATGGTCCTTAAAATTGCATATAACATTAACATCATGAATGGTCCTTAAAATTTATGTTCAAATAAGAGAAAGATCCCTGTAGAATTGACAAATCGAAAAAAAGGTAAAAGAAGAAAATACTTTAATTATCACTATGAATAGACCTTTCCTCTTTTGAGTGAAATTTTGATCTAGACAAGTCTGGACAAATATTTCATCACAGCTTGAAACAGCATCACAAAATTAGTAATATTCCGAAGTTTCGTTGCGAAATGTTGTAAAATGCGGATAATATAGCCTTGCGAAGTTTGCCGTTTTTTAGTCATTTGGTATTACAAACGGGAAATTGATAATCCGATGATCAAACTGATCATCTGCAAAATGTTAGATTGTAATGCAAAATGACTGAAAAACGGCAAACTTCGCAAGGCTATATTATTCGCATTTTACAACATTTCGCAACGAAACTTCGGAATATTACTAATTTTCTGATGCTCTTTCCAGCTGTGATGAAATTGTTGCCCAGACATATCTAGATCAAAATTACACTCATAAGGGGAAATGTCTATTAACTAACGTCTCATTTGATTACCATGCATACCTCCTATTCCCCCTATATCATGCCCCCTATATAATAAAATTGCGCTTTCATTGCGTAGGCTCTGGAGGAAGGTGTCACTCCAAGAGAGATTTGTTCCAAATATTTTAAAATTCACAGTGAAGTTTATGAATGGTTTAATATTCAGTTTGATTACTTTGGAAGAACAACCACTGAAGAACAGACAAAGTAAGTCCTCTTTAATGACATATTATTACTCCGAATATGCATTATTTTCACACTGTCAATGGTTTATAGAATGTGAAATGGGGCTTTGGTGTCATAAGTACAATTTAAAGCACGCGTAGGAGTGTTTTATCACATATAAAACACGACGCGTAGCGGAGTGTTTTATATGTGATAAAACACGACTATACAAGTGCTTTAAATGGCTTCAAAAACGACTCATCTTATACGAGTTCATTGGCGAAGTAATTTTTGAAATAAACTTTGTCTAAACCGAGAAAATCAAAGCTAAAGTTTATGTAAATTAACATGATTTTTTATCACATGTATAAAACGACGACACGCTTATGATTTTTCTTTGTGTTTTCCTCCTGAATTATTAATGAGTTCTTGAAGCCGTGTTTACACTACAAGCCTAAGCCTGGCCTGGGCCTACCTTTGGACTAGATTTTTGTAGTGTAAACGCACTTCGGTCTGGTATGGGCCAGGAAATCTGGGCCCATCAGAACAGGTGGCCTAGATTTCCTGGCCTAGGCCAACCCGAAGTGCGTTTACACTACAAAAATCTAGTTCAAAGCTAGGCCTAGAGCTAGGCCAGGCTTAGGCTCGTAGTGTAAACACGGCATAGTCATCTGAACAACCTCTGCTTTCACTGCACTCGTGCACGCGCGTGATAAGAATCAGTGCAAATTAAACGCTCTAACAAAAGTAGTTGGCTTTCTTCAGACCCGTTCAAACCCGATTCTAACAATGTTGGGGAGTGTTCGATAAAAATGTTAAACCAAGTCAGGCATGATCCAACATTCGGCCATGCAAATATATAATATAACATTCAAACATATCCGACATTGGTGCATCAAATAATGTAGGATGATATTGAACTATAGACAGATGAACGCGACTTTGGAGTTCTCAGGTTTTCCCCATGCAATTTTGAAAGCAGACAGTTGGGTAGGATATGTAAATTAGTTAATATGTGTTTTTTTTGTCATAATAATAATAATCATATCTTTCAGAATAGCGAAAATCAACTATAGCATTTCAAGAAAAATATAGTGTCCACAATCTCAACAATAGTTCTAGACGAAAACATGCATTCTTATATTTTTCTTTAGAATTTCTCAAGATATTTTTTGGAAGAATTACCACAATGGCCTAACACTGGAAAAGATAGTAGAACAGCTACACTGCGGAAATTGCAATAGGTAATGCAATCAAGATTCGGAAAGTCTATAAGGTATAACCTTGGAATTAGTAATGTCAGGATCTCTGAGAAAAATTATCCCATTTGTTTTCTTTTTTTTCAGTAATGTTATTAAACTAGTAAGTAGTATAAAGGATGTTATCATGATTCTAAGTTTAAAATCCAAATTACTAAAAGTTCCTAGCTTAATTGTTTTGTTGTGGCTGATATGCAATTACCGTCACTATAATATCATAATGCATAATAAGTTACAGAAAACAAATTTAACAACAATTGAATTGAATTCAGAATTCTCCATTGTATTCTTATCAGTTATAGACCTGAAACGAGGGGTATTCCACAAAAAATTACCCTGAGGGATGAAATATTCCGAGGGCGAAGCCCGAGGAATATTTCATCCCGCATGCAGGGTAATTTTTTGTGGAATACCCCGAGTGAAAGATCTATAAATGGTATATTATACCGAACCTTTCAAAAATAAGTAGAAAACAAATACCATTCAATTAACTTTTAATTTCAAAACACAACTTTTGATAACTTTACATTTAAAAAAGTCGAATTTCCCGCTCAAGCGTCGTATTCAAAGTCGAATACCATGGCCCCGGGTAAAACACCCAGGGTTCAAATTGCCTAGGTCATAGTATTCGCTGAAAAATACCATGGTCATGTGGTACAAATTTAGTTCTCTGATTGGACAAGCTCATTGTGAGGTATAATATTACCATGTATTCTCCATTGTATTCTACAATTCTTTCAGAATTCTACCATGTGTATATGATAGTCAACACGGTATTTAAGACTATTATTTCTATTTTAGATTTTTAGCTGACCGATTTGTGGAGGGAACGTGCCCACTTTGTGGTTTTCACGTACGTTTTCAAGATGTATTTGTGTGACCATGGATGTTTACCCCCTGTATCTAATTTATATTTTCGCAACTCGCGAGCCTTAATAGACAATTCCCTGCCTAGTCCCAGGCTCTCTTTCTATTCGCTGCTTTGATATATTTAAATAAGTCGTAAAAGTTTTATACCTGGGTGTGCTGTGCGGAACGCTTCAGCGAGAGAGCCTAGCAGATTTCGGTAAAATGGTCCCTGATTTCAAAAAAGTGGTCCCTGGCCTGGTTACCAAGCATACCGCATTTGTATATAGATATATACAATTGTATATATGTATATTCCTTTGCGTTTATAATTAAGTCATTAGTTTTGCTCTAATGCTGTCGGAACAATGAGATAGGCTACGTTTCGCTACCATACGGTCAGAATGGAATAACGGGCTAAATATGACTCGTGTTTACTAAAATATAAAGCCATATTAGGCTAAATGCTATCTAGAAGCTTGAAAATTACGCCGAGTCTCCGACTAAAAATGTTTTGACAACACAGTCATGTTTACAATCTCCTCAGCTACTTAAACCTGTCAAGTAGAAAGCGTAGTTGTGTATACCAGTTGATCACAACTTGCGAGTATATAAATAACATCAACGATTATACGTGACCATTGCTCAGACTCAGTATCGTAAATTTGTATATAAATTTGTTTAATTGAGCACATTTTTAATACAGTTTGAATTTGGTTATGTAGACATCGAACATGATCACCGAACATTGTCGTATTTACAAGGTTATTTGTATATATAAATTTTCCGCCATATTAAAAATACTGAAATCTGCTAGGCGTTCTGAAGCACTTTAGCGGTGACGTCACACCTAGGTCCCAGTCTCGTACTACTTCCACGTTTTTTCTCGCGCTTGCTTCAGAACGACTGGAACTAGGCTGGACAATTCCCATTATAGACTAACTTTAAAACTAGGCAAGGAGATGCAAATAAATCACCACAGCTAGAAAAATTAAAATTACAAAGTTTGGTTGCGAAATGTTCTAAAATGCGGGAAATATAGCCCTGCAAAGTTTGCAAATTTTGTAAATATACTTCTGTATTGCGTGCGGAAATTGCTGGTAGGAATAAAAAAAAAAATTTCCGCCCGCAATTCAAAAGTATACAAAATTTGCGAACTAATTTGCAAGGTTATATTTTCCGCATTTTACAACATTTCGCAACCAAACTATGTTATTTTACTAATTTTTGTATGCTCTTTCTGCTGTGGTGATTTATTTGCATCCCCTTGCCTAGTTTTAAAATTAGTCTATAATCATGGGAATTGTCTAGTCGGATAATCTAAGCATATGATCAGTGAGTTATAAATTGGCTGGCAGCTGGCGAAAACACGAAACAAATTGGCTGATTAAGTTTATTGCTTCTATGCATATAGTTGATGATTTAGTTACGAAATGCATTTATTATATAAACATAAGTATTATATAGAGTTTTGGCCACTGAGAAAAATCGTATTTGAACACACGTAAAAAATACGATATTTTTACGTGTGAAAATATCATTTGTTGTAAAACGCATTGCCACGGACGTTTTATTGTTTTTCACTGAATTTTGTTTATATAATAAACAGAAAAATACATGGGTGCTTGGAAATATATATCATATATCATGTTCAACACTCGAAATAAATCTGGTATTTCCGCGCACCCATGTATTATTCTCTATTTATAATATAGCATTTGTAAATTCTGAACGCTGATTGGCTAAGAGCCGTGTTGATATAACTCAATGTCAACACGGGAAATTTTCCGCCGCTTGTAAACACGGAAATTTTTCTTATCCTTCGGGCTTTTGACATTGCTATAT